ACTCACAGGGAAGTAATTACATCCTATAAAAGAAGCAGCAGCCTGTGGTTTGAGCCAGGACCAGTTCATGACACTCATTTTAAAGAGACGTTTTGTGTCTTGTTTATAGATTAGATTTTAACCTGACAACCTTTTAACATTGTATTAAATTAGAAATTAACTTCGTATGACTGCTCACCGTATAATTGACCTACTGATAGGCTGAGCGCTAGAGAATAGTTAAGATACCTTTCAGACGGCAAAGTTCCCAAGAATATTCAGAGCCTCCTCCTTGATCCAGACCAGGGCTTTGCTATTAATTAGTATTTATGGCCAGGTGGCAGAAACGCTTCGTGAGGAGCGAGGGCTGCTGGGGAGCAGCATCCCTCCTGCGCCATGCTGGGATGAAACCCGACGGGATGGGGGTCAGGCTGCAAGCCCCCGACCCTGCCCGTTGCAGCGACCACCCAGCAAGGCCAGTGGCCGCCCTCCCGCCGTTGCCCCAGCCAGAGCTGCCAGGAGATGAACCCGTCGGGGATGGAGCTTTGAGAGAGCCGGGTGCTGCAAGGCACTGAGTGCACACGGGGAATCGCTGAGCATCCGCAGTTCCCAGCAGCTCCCCGGCAGGGACGGGGGAGCGGCACGGCGGGAGCCTCTTGTCTCCGGTGGACTCTGTTCTCGCCAGCTCTGCTCCTGCAGACGGAGAGCACAGAGCTCAGAGAGGGGTTCGTGCAGTCACCAGGACAGAGGCGCAGCCGCTGCAGACACGCGCTTGTCCCAGTGCCTTTTCCATCTGTGAAACAGGCCAAGCAGTGGATTCAATTATTTTTTTCCTAGCACACAAGCCACTAATCATTTACCCCTCATCTCCACAACTTTTGTTCCCATTTTATCCAATTAAAATTCAGGGGGAAAAAAAAAAGTTTCATTTTCTCTTTTTGCAATCACAAAGCCCCATCTCAGCTCCGTTGGCTCGCTAATTGTAAGCACTCAGATGGCCGGGTTTAAAGTTACACTTAGCAGCTGTGAAACATTAGGGTGAAGTGATTACAACCTACTGGAGGATACCGAACATTTTTACAATATCTCAGGAGCATAAGGGAAAGACAACAGGAAATGGCGCAAACTTTCCTACCCTGCACAGCAACAAGGCAAGAGCGCAGAAGCGAGAAAATAAAACGTAGAGGCGCAGACGTGGTTTGGATCCTCAAAAAGTTCCTAAGGAAGGTCTGGTGAAAGCACTGTGGGTTCACCCCCTTGCTCAGGGGGTCAGAGGGGACGGGGAGCCGCATTCGGGGATTTCACAGCTGCACTTTGCAGCAAACCCCTCCTCCAGGCTCTCCGTTGGGGACGGAGGTCTCGGTGGTATTTTGTCCTTGGTCGCTTCCCCTCGCTGGCCTTTGTCCCAGCCTCACCGCCAGCAAACATCGTCCTGGGCTGGACACCCTGGAGCGTGTAGATGGGCAGAGGATGGGGTTCATCAGCTCACCCTGGGCAGAGCATTGTGCTCCATTGGGGCTGAGCTTTGACAACAAAGCAAACGGAGCCCGAGCCCCACGCGCTCTGCAAAGCACCGGGAAACACTGGTTAAGCCCAGGCCCTGGACTAGGTCTGAGATTTGATTTCATTTGAACTACAAGCTGTCACATTTGGAGAACCTTTTGACTTTCCCCTTCTTTTCAAACAGCGAAACGTTCCCCTCACGTGACTTAAGCGCGCTACACGCGTGTGTTTATTACAGAAACCAGGGTAGGATAAGAAAGCAATATTTCATGTTAATTCATGAAATCTGAACTCAACTTTTAATAGAAGAGCTCCACTTTATGCGCAGAGTGATATACAGTCCGCCCCGCTTTAAATGAGACATTGTGCCTTTTGAACTCCGCAGGAGGCTGCTGCTTACGACTACTGGAAACAGTTTAGAGACCTGCGAGCCCGGCGTGTCTTTTGGGCTCTTTTCGAGCCCGTGGTTTATATCATGGCACAACATTCTTGCCGGGCTGCCTGCTACCGCTTGCCAGCTGCTGCGTTTGAAAATCCAGCATTTCAGAAACTCACCTGGATTATTTCCACAACGATGGGAGACACTCGTCCAAAATCCCTCAAAGACCATGAGCCTCTGGCTATTTTTGCTTGAAGTGGGGTTTGGATCCAGTCCCTAGACTGAAAACGCGGTTGCATTAAAGTCGGGGGCAAACCTCCCTTAGGAGCAGCTTCTAGACATCATCACGGAGCAGCGATGTTCTCTCCCGGTGCCTGAAAAGAGTATCGCTGCTGAGGTTAAGGCAGAGGAAAGGTGGTGTTGCAGAAAATCACGGGGCACCCAGCTGGAATGGGGGCTAAAGGCAGGGGCCATGGGTGGGAGCAGAGTAAGGCAGACATGGCGGGGACACGTTGAATCAGACCCTATAGAGTTATCACTGAATCAGATCCTATAGAGGTATAACTGAATCAGATCCTATAGAATTATCCTTGAACCAGACCCTATAGAGTTCTCGTTGGACCAGACCCTACAGAGTTCTCATTGCAACACACTCGCTTTTCCCTGGCTCACTGAAGAGCTGGAACTCGGTGGTTATTCTGCTGGGTCATCTGTGAAAGTATAAAATTAAAGTTAAATTAGCCAACTCATAGCAGTGCTTTTTTTTTTTTTTTTTTTTTTTTTCCCCTAAGCTGTAGGCTTTCTTAACAGTTTGGCTGCAGGGCTATCAACAGCAGGGAATGTAGGACATTCTTTTCAACGAACCAGACTGAAAATATTTTGGTACAGCCCCAGTTTGTGGGGTTTTTTTTTCCTCCCCCCCCCACCTTTAAACAAAACATCCTGATTCAAAGGAGCTTCTTGCAGACCGGGAATTTCCACATGGCCGTATTGCAGCACTTATAAAAAGTGATTTAAAGCCTGCCAACAACAAATACATTTCCAATGACACCACTCGGCGTTATGCGCTGTCCTGCTTCGTGTGTTCAGTAGGAACCAGCGACCGAGCATCGGAGGCAGAGGAGCGAGCGGTTCTTCCCTCCTCTGCAAGAATTTTGTCCCTTACGGTCTCTCCTTGGAAAGCCCGAAAGGAAACAAGCATCCCGGTGACAACACAATCCCTTCTGGATGTGTTAATCTGGATTTTGTTTGAACTTTTGGAGCTGACCTTGGCTTGAACCGTGTTAAAAATCCCGGCTGCTGTGGACTGACGTGACCCTGCGGTCCCACTTCTCCGCGGTGCCAGCCCTACCCGCAGCCCCTCACTTCAAGCCATTATTTTACAGACATAAAAGAACCATAGCATTACAGCAGATCTAGCCAGCGGGCCAGAGCTGTGAGTACTTACTTACAGGCGAACTCTCCTCTGATTTCATCCCAAGGAAGGTTTTTCTTTTTTTTTTTTTCTTGAGAAAGGACTGACTGAAAACCAAGCAAGAAACTGAAATTATTGCTGCAGACTCACAGTTTTTATTAGTGGTTTCCAAGCCTGAAGAGAGAGGGGAAAAAAAAAAAAAGCTTCTGAGGGCTGAATCGCGGCATTGCAATTAAAAAAAACAACAACAAAAATACCAAGCCCAAGACAGAATTTGGTATTTGGTGTTTGGGGCTGGAGGGGGAAGGCGTGGTGGGTTCAGCATCACTCAGCGCGGCTGGTTGAAGCTGTAAGAGCGCGAAAAGATTTGTGGGTTTAGATAGTTTCCTCTCATTGCCATGACTCAAACGGCTCCTATTAAAAACAAGTAGTGGGAAGGAAATTTCATAAGCTGACAGTCCCATCTCACCCTCTGCTTCTCCACACAAGCTGGCCGAGGTGTAGGAATTCGTGCGGTTACTACGTGTGAGCCCTGACGCTTTACCAGCAGAGTTCTGCGGCGCTGGCTGTGACCGCGTGCGTTCCGCAGGGTACGGAGCCTCGCAGAGCCCCGCAGATGCGATCCCCTAACAGGACAGCCGCAGGTGGGTGTCTCTGCTGCCTGGTCCTCATCCCACTGAAATCATCAGGATGAAGAAGCGGAGCCCCGACCAACGTGAGGAGCTGGGGTCAGGCACCCGACCGGAGACGGGTGTTGATTTTCAGAGGTGCCAAGCGGGTGCAAGAAACACCATCCCAGCCTCCCATTGTTACAAATCCTGCCCCTGCACATGGGGATGGGAAAGCAGGGATGCAAAACCAAGCTAGGCTGGCTGCGTAACATCCACTGATGGCTTTAATTAAAGCCCTCAAGTTAGTAAATACGCACGTAATTTGGTCCAGGAAGATACACGACAAAAAGCCAGCCCAGGAACACTCCATGAACATTGCCATTTAAGCAGTTTCTTGTTTAACTTAGATTTATTCAATGACACATGCATTCCTGGACAGATATTTGAGTTCCAATGAACAACTTTTATAACCAAATATGAGAAATTTGCGACTGTAGTTAGTCCATTACCTACATTTCTAAAATACATGACTAGAAGAAAACCAGAGAAATAGAGAGAATTCTTCCAAAGAACCAAAAGAAAACATTTCCATTTGTAATACTCCTGGCATTGATGGGTATCAGTGGGGAAGGAGGGCAGCAAGGAGACGCAATGAGGGAGGAATAACATTATCAACCCTGTCCACAGAAAGTCCTCCAGTTTCCAGTCTCTCCAGTTCATTCGTTAATGCTCGGCACTTCTGCAAATGGCAACAGCTCCTCTGCGTTACGGAGATTCCCTTCATCTCTCAACATGAAAAAGCAGAGGGACGGTTGTGAAACCATGTGCTTGACCGAAAATGGCTTAGAAATATTTCTCCTCAACCAACCTCTTCCTGAACACAGCGAAAAAAAAGAAGCTGCAGAGCTATTGGGATTGAAGACGGAGTCTCTTCATATTGCACAGGAACACAAAGTCAAGGTTTCGTGAGGATGTTTCAGGAAGGTTTCAGAGTCGTCGTTATTTATCAGGGTAACGAGGACCATCCAGCGCGGGTGACGGACACATTGGGATGGTTGAGGCGGAGCAGGGGCTCGTTACCCTGTGCGGATCTCTCCTGGGATGCTCGGCTCGGTTAAGGGAACCCTGTGGGGAAAAGGCTGAGGGGCTGGTTTTCGTTAGTCGGGAGGGGCGATCTGTAGCCATCGAAGTTGCGGGGGATGCTGCCGCTGGTGGAACCCGAGCTGTTACTGAGCGTCTCTATGCTTCCCTCTCGCTGGAGCTCTGCAACAGGAAGAGAGAGCAGGTCCTGGTTAGCATTTCGGATAAACCCGGAGCGCCATTAGACAGCCGCTTTATTGACAAATCTATTGTATCCTTGCTCTAACATTTGCTCATCATCCACCTTTTCCGGGGTGATTTGCCGAGTCACTCCACAGGCATCCCAGCTCCTGGTTCTGCCTCTCTGCCAGGCTCACGGCTCCGCTGAGCCAGAGAGGAGCTGGATGGAGACATTACACGCTGCCCAGCATCCCAACCCCTTTCCTGGGGACAAGGCCACTGACTCACGACACCTCACAACTCAATAGCGGGGATGCTCGTGGCTGCACTGAGCAGGGTGTGAAGGGGACGGTGGCAGCTGATGGAACATCTTTCCTCTGCAGCAATGCTGCTGAGCTGGAGGGGAAGGGAGCGCAGCAGCAACACTGGTTACCGTGTGATTCTCCACCTTGGGAACACCAGGGACTTTCCACAACCCTTTATCCTGTACAAACCAACATCAATAACTTTGCTTTTTCAAGCCAAAGAGAAAACATGCCCTTTTCTTACATGCCTGAGCCGTGCCTCAAAGCAAAAGAGAAAGCAGTCCTGTGTGTCACACACAGCCAGACATCTCCCCTCGCTGACCTCCCAAAGCCTTTACTGCTCCCTAATCTCGAAACACGGGGATTTTTGTGCATGCAGAGCATTGTTTCTACGCTTGAACCCCGTGGTTGCCTCGGTGGCAGCATGCGGCAGCGCGGCTGGGCAGCATCACCCGGCCAGCACTCAGCGGTGGCATGCAGCGGGAGAGCAGGCAGAGCCCCAGGGATGCGGCAGGAATCTTCCCCCAGACACCCTGTGACAGCCCACGAGAAATATTCTGTCGAGCTGCAACATGGTGCTGAGCTCGGCTTCTGTCGGCTGCTCCTGTGCTGGAAGGGACGGGACGGGGAGAGGAGCTTTGGGCAAAGTCCTCTGCTGCCAAGGGGAAAGGAAAAACCCTCTTTGCTGCACGCTGCGGTGTCGTGGAAAAGGGGAAAACCCCCGGAGGAGACAGGCAGCTTCCCCTGACCCGGCAGCGGGGGTTTTGCTCGGATGGAGATGGAAAGGAGCCGCAGACACGGGAGCTGGAGGAGCAGCGCCCACTTTGCTAAATATTACTGCTCCTCTGCTGTTTGCACACCTCTGTCTCCCACCAGGATATTTAAGCTTTTGCAAACACCACAGCAGCCCTTTTGCTGCGGCAGGACTCCACGGTAAGGATGTATCTATGCACAAAGTGCCCAGCAAAAGCAGAACATCAGTTCTTCCCTAAAACAAACAGCATCTGGCCCCAGCATCCTCGGATGCTGCACAGCTCCCGGTTGCTACTTGGGCACCGCAGGGACAGCAGCCAGGAGAGCACATGCCGAGCAAGGGACAGCTCAGGGATTTAATCCTTGATCGTGGAGGTAACCTGCAATGGAGATAATCTGCCCAGGATACACGAAAAACAAATCATCAGGAAACGGGTCACCCTGCAAGCAGCGATGCGAACGACCTCAGCTGGACTAATCACCATTTCTCGCCAGAATTTGGTGAAGGAATGTCCACGTCTAAACCTCTTCATTTTCCTCCCCTCTTTACTCTCCCATGAGATCAGGAAGTAAAAACAGTAATTTAAATCAGAAACGAGTGGCGTATCCCACACTAATACTGCGCTTATCCTGTCTGATTTGGGGCTTTTATCTCCCTCCGCGCACAGCTGGCTTCGGTTAAACGTCCCACGGCAGAGCTCGGGGTGCGGGGCTGCCGGCACTGGGGCTGGCGGGGCGGGGGAGCCGCTCACCGGGTGACTTCGCTCGCTCTCTTTAGGCTATAATTGATTTTCAGGCAAATGTTGTGTTTTCAAGCAACCGTAGCAAAAGAAGGGAGAGAGAAGGAGCGAGGGTGCGTTGGTTCCCCCGCAGTGGGGCTCCTCCGCGGCCGT